TGCTACTCTAGGAAATATGGAGTTCCAAATGGAGAAATAGTTTGGATTGAAAAGAGCCAAAGGCTGAGAACTAACCTACAAGGACCCTTAACATGGGTACCTAAATTTTTTCTCTGAATCTTTGTTGTAGGAATGCTTGAGGGCCAAGAACTTACTATGGTATCTTGATAGTGGCTGCTCAAGGCATATGACTGGAGATCCTTCAAAATTCTCAAGTCTGAAATTGAAGAATGAAGGGTATGTTACCTATGGTGACAACAACAAAGGGAGAATTCTTGGTCATGGTAATATTGGTAACTCCTCCTCTCAAACATTGATTGAGAATGTATTGCTTGTTGATGGGCTGAAACATAATTTGTTGAGTATAAGTCAACTAAGTGATAGAGGTTTTAAAATTGAATTTGATAATACATGTTTCTTGATATGTGATAAAAAGACAAAGGAAATCAGATTCATTGGAAAAAGAATTGATAACATATATATGCTTGACTTAGAACACTCAATAGCAATTTCTAATACTAAGTGCTTAATAACCCAAGAAGACAATATTTGGCTTTGGCATAGGAGAGCTGCACATATTCATATGGATCATTTAAATAAACTGAGTAGGAAGGAATTAGTGGTAGTTGTTACTTATCTATTATGGGGTAGAAGGGTGTCACACAAGTTTTTTGTTTTTTTGTTTCTAGAATTTGATAGTGAAAATATTTTAAAATTATGGCTACTCGAATAGTTAGTTTATTTATTTATTACTCCCTCTATTATTTTTTATGTATTGAATTTTTAGTAAAATTTTGTTTCTATTTACTTGTTATTTTCAAATTTTAAGATAACATTAATTGTTATGTTATCAATTATATCCTCACATCTTACTTAACTTTTAATTAGTTTATACATACCAACTAATATGTATTTATTATGAAACAAAAATGAAAAAGGATACAATAGGAAACATTAAAATCATTATATAAAAAATAAAAAAAATTATTACATTTATTGGTTTGTATAAAACAACTTTAAACGACCATTATAAAAGAATGAAGGTAGTATTTTGTTTTAGTTTTGATCAAATACTTTTGGTTCACGAGATAAAAACAAATATTATGTATAGTAATTTAAAGAGTTATATAAAACACTATTATTAATGATACAATCTTTTACGAATGCAAATAAAAAGAAAAAAATAAAAAAAAAATCCTAGGTCTATTACTTGATTGCAAATAACTAGTGTAGAATTAGATAAAAAAAGGTGTTCAAAGTATTTCACCGACATTTGTATCATCTTCAAGGAAGAAAGAAAATAAAATATATCTAACAAGACAAAAAAAAGTCTAGCAACACCTAAAAAGAAAAGAATGAGAGAATACAAAAGTCTCATGGTTTGAGTAGGACTCTTAGATGAGTATGATATTTATATTTTTCACTAAAAAATTACATAAATTCACTCTATAAAATAATTCATTAAGATTTGTATATTTTTTAATACAAGAAAATTGCTTTATAAGTTGGGAAAATCTCAACTGAATACTACCAAGTTTCATTTTTCTCTTTAAAAATTGTAATTGTTTTGATTAAATACTACTAAATTTCATTATTCGTTTAAAGATTCTAATTATCTTAATTGAATACCACTAGACTTTTTTATACTACTTTCGTTCTTTTATAATACTCATTTAGTGTTGTTCTTACACAAATCAAGAAATATAATAATTTTTTTCTATTTTCATAAAATGATTTTAATGTTTCCCATTATATTACATTTTATTTTTGTCTCGTAATAAATGCATGAGTTGTCACATGCAAATTAAAATTTTGGGACCTTTGTCCCCCTAGGCAGTTCTACTTGAGTTACATGATCGGGAAAGGTTGACACAAAATAAGGACGTTCATTTCGACCTAACTCGAAACCATGCCTATTTAGTATCCGTTCTACCATTTGATCTAAATTATCATTAGGATACCTATTAGGTCGAATTATGTTTTGAGGAAAAATTCCATTCCCACCTAGATTTTCCATCTCGTTCAAATTTGCACTCATGGCTCTTGAAGGCGGTCCGTATTCGAATAGTCCTCAACTCGCCGAGGACTCTAGCTGCGTAGTTGTTTAGCAAATGATACCATCCGATTGTTATATGACAATAAAAGGTTTTGAATACATTTTAATATCTTGTCAATTAATGATAACATTTTCTGTCCTATATATAGCATGTTTTTATCTTCAAAAGATACGTTTATTCTTGAGATTACATCTATATACTTTAATTATTCATTGGCTTTGATATCTGTTAGGCCTACTCAAAAAAGTGCATGAGATTTCTCGAAAAACATTATGAAGTTAACGCCTACCAGTAACAGATGTTCGAGGTCAAAAAGAATTGTTTCGAGTCGAACAACGATATGCTCGAAAATTAGGGAAGTTGCCTGAGGTTCTTATGGTTGCACCAAGGTAGTTATCAAAGTCCAGATCGAGAAAACAAAACACGTGGGAGAACGGTTATGAGAAGTTATAATTTAAAGCCACATAATGAGCATAGTGGATAGCGGTTATCCTATAATGGCTTACACGCACGAAGCTAACCGTCCTTAATTGGCTCTATAAATGCAAGAGTCATGCATCTTTACGGAGGTCAGAAAAACTCATACTTGAACTGAGATCTCAAGCACTCTCCGCCTGCGCATAAGGCTTTCGTGCAAGGAATCGTTTTTGGGTATGATTGCTTCTTGACCACCTTTTTCTTCTCTTTTTAGATTAGGATTAGTTTAGTCTTCTTTCTTCTTTTAATCACGTAGTTTAAATTACTAAAATGTAGTTTTAAATTACGTAAACTCTGATGATGTTGTAATACTTGAACATTATGAACCATGATCTGTATTGAAAATATCTCTATTGTTCATTCTGTTTATTTAAGTGTTTACGTGCATGAACATTATTTGTTGGTAATCATTGACGAATATTTGGAAACCAGTAACTACTAAATCTTCCTACTCCGTTTTCTGTCCTTAAATTGGATACCTAAATTGAAACCGTTTACGTGCTAGTTCGAATATAAAGGGTCCACAAATGAATTTCACCGTAAACAAATTGGCACACCCGGTGGGACTCGTTTAAATTATAAACATAATTGGACTAGTTTTAGGTATACATGTTGTATGAGACTTAGGAGTGGAAGAACCATGTTTACGTCTAATAGTAGGAGAGAAACGAACAATGATAATCAAGTAGATGTAGAACAACAAGGAAATTCTAACCCAGATAATGCGACTAGTGTGACAAGGGGGGCAGCATCTTCCCCTGTTGTACTCGAAAATGTGCCTAGACTCGAAAATGTGGCTAGACAAACCAATGTGACTCAGGAACTAGCAAATGTCACCAGAGAGTGTCCCTGGGGTATGCCACAGAATTGGCGAAATACCCAACCCGTACATGTCGAAACGTCGGTACCTTTCTTATGACCAAATCCACAAGTGCACGTATCTCCACAGGGATACAATCCTGGACCAAATGGCTTGGGTTTTGTCATGCAAGACCCATATCAACATGTGGGGACAGGTCAGGAAGGTTCCCTGATTCGACAGGGTAGTTAAAATCCTACGAAATCCTAAACCAATACACCCCCCTTAGATGAGATAGCACAATCATTAATGTTGTTTTGAAATTTAAAAAAAAAACAAGTAAATAGAAATAAAATTTTATTTAAAAACTGAAAAATAAAAAAGAACATAGAAAGTATTATTTTAAAATTTCAATCGAATATTACAAGACTTTTTTATAAAATCATTTGAAACCTTAATCCAATACTCTCACTTTTTTTTTTCTTTTTTGAAGAAATTAAATAGATAACTATATTTTTCTCAATGTAAAAATTTAATTTAATTTATTTTGTAAATAGTTGTATTTTGAATATATGTAAAAAATGAGAGTAATGCATATTTTATTAATTATTTTTTTTAAAAGTAAATATATTTTTTGAAAATAGAAATCAAACATGGTATTGTAACTTGCTTTCACAAGGATATTTTTCTGAAATTAAATATGAAAATAAATTATTAAGTTGACTTTCATGTTCCAATTTACTACCCCACATTATAAAGATTATGTAATTGAGTGCAAAATTTTTAGGTATCACAACCTAATAAAATATTATATAATCTTTTGTGTTATGAAAGCATGAAAATTGGAGTATGATTGTGTCACTACCACCGCATAATCATAGGTAACACGATCCTTTGGTTGCTACTTGCTCCACATTCTAATATCTAAGCATGTTCAAAGGTTGCTTCCTTGTCTTTCTCAACTTGTTCAAGGCTTTTACTAAGTTCTTGTTCTCAATGAAATGGTATGTAATAAAGTTAGAATACCATAATTCACACATTATCACATCAAACAATCTGGCCAAAAGTATTAATGGTATCAATTTTTTTCCTATGTCCTATCTTATTTTTTGGTTGATAAAATTTTATGGATGATTACTAAAATGTCATATTATTTATATTCTTTTCTTCTTTCCATGAATTTCTTAAGGAAACATATAAAAAAAATATTATTCCCTTTACAAAATCTTAATAGTAGAAACAAGCTTAAAAATCTACAATATCACATAATTTATATTTCCTCATTACTCCCATAAATGTGAATAAAGACAAAAAATACTAAACCAACTTATTAGGAACATCAAAACTTACAAGTGAGTTTATTTATAATTTATAAACCATACCTAAACTTCCATATATTCATAATGATCTCCATATTATGTATACAAACAAGTTCAAGCCTAAAACTGATCAACCTCCTCCCTTTTTTTTTAACTTAAAAGAGAAATGTAAAATGATACTCTAATTTTAAATGTCCTCAACAAATTTAGACAAGGAAAGACAAGTAATTCATATTATGATATCATCATGATTATGCATGCTACTGTCTATGTTTTTTTCTAAATACTTTCACCCTTATGATTCATGATGATCACACTACCTAAAATAACTTGTAATAATAGGAAAAAAGGTAATTGAGTCAGGTGCCATAAAGCTCCAACCACTATATTATAAGTAACCTTATTTTTCATATTCAAGAGGTTAATTCCTAAACAAAAAATTTGTTGCCTCCTAATCACGTGGCAATAACTCTAATTATTGCACCAAGGATCCCTTTCAAATAGTAACAATAAAAATTCATAAAAGTATTATTTGACTAAACCAACTTAGTAATTAGCTTTTCAATAACAATCTCAACAATGCTTAAGAATGGGAAATTCAATCTCAACAATCATCAATATCCTTTCTTTTTTTAATATTTTATTTTTTCAAACAGTTTGTCTTTATAACCACATTATCTTAATTGTATCACCCAATTCAACAATATTATACACTATATAATTTTGCTTCTTATACTATCATATAGAATGATAATCAATCCTTGTATGAATGATCAAAACAAAGGCATCATGAAAAAGCAACAAAGGAATGCCTACACATTTGTCTCCTTTAATTATTGTGACCTTAGTTCTTATTTCAACAATGTTATACTCAATTTTTTCAAATTATTATGGGAATTAAATCCCCTATTAGCAAAGACATTGATGTAGCAACCAATTTTGCCAACATAGCAATATTTTTGTTAAAATTGTGGGTCCATAAGGGGGATTTAATTTGCATCATTTGAAAAATAAGAGGGAAACATAATATTGAAATCGAAACAAAACATATGAAAATTGAATTTTGGCAATATGCATAACAAAATTTGAAATCAAACCAAAAAGGAAAAAAAAACTTACAACTATCATGAACACTGCCTAAACCTTGTTGTATTAGCTTGAGTCTAACCAAAACCTAGCTTCCTACCTGATTACCTTCTCGCTTTCACACTATTAACTTAACTAGGTAAAGTTTTGTTAAAACATCTAATTGAAAGAAAGTTTCCTCAAAAGGACTCATGAAATCATAACAATGAACTTATTCAACAAACTAACTATTTTCCCATAAAACCTTAAAATATACATGGACAATAAATAAACAAACACTAGCCTTTTAAAGATAAAAGAAGAGTAATAGGCATGTGCAGTAGTACATATAAGAGTTTTTATATCGTTAATCTATCAGGAATGTTTTTTGGAACAAATTTTAACATAATTATTATGAAAGTCATTAAACTTACAATGTACAACAGTTTATTATTAGGTGACACTAGCTATAATGTGTGAGGTCGTGTATTATTTATTAACATCTCACACAAAGCATATAAGGGTATAAACAGAGTATGACATTATAAGATCATTCATTGATATTATATATATATATATATATATATATAATAAAGTATTAGAGCAAAAAAATCCTAGTTAATATTAAAATTGTACAACAAAGTGGCAATTTTAACTAGAAGGATGAAAAGTAATAACCATAGAATGTGTAGTAGTAAGCAATTGAAGATCAAAGGAGCGTAGAGACATGTTAGCAATCTTAGTGATGGCATCATCTCTAACCTCCACCATGTCACTTGTTAAATCCTCATAGGCAACCTTAAAGGCTTGTTGCCAGAACCACGACAACTTGATCCTGTGATTATTGTTGTACACATCCCACACGTGACATACCATATTTTCTCTCTCTTCTATTTCCTACAGTCACAATGTTCATGAGTGTTTATTGATCCTTAACCATCAACTATATAACATCCATTTAAGTTTTTTAATATATTAAAAATTATTAACAATTATTCTATGTTACATAAATGTGTACCTACTTAATAATTTATCGCGCAAAAGAAAAAAAAAGGGTGGGGGGATCTTACGAGGATGTTGAGGTGGTCAAGGAGTGTTTCGTGAAGGTCATGGGAGAAAGTATTGAGCATACTAGACCAACGGAACGAGACAGTTCCAGTAAACATGGACCAAAATGCAAGGAGCAATATCGCAGTTAGGGTCCAAAATTTGTAACTATCTTTTTCGAATAAACCTAAATCTAAGGTCAAGGTTGAGCCTTCCCTTTTTGTAATTAGGAGTGTGTCCTCATCCATCATTTCTTGGGTTTGATTTAATTGATTTGAATGTGAAAATTGGATGTCTTTTTTTGTGTTTCCTTACTTGCCTGGTGGCGGTGGGTGCTTCTGCATCGGTTTCATCGCTTAGACTCAGATTTGCTAGGGAGAGAGGAAAATGCTAACAACAAAGAAACAAATATTTTAATAATTATTTTAATTAATGAAAAATTATCAAATAGTTGCGTGTTTATTCAAATTATAATTGAAAGGGAGGGTTAGTGGAGATGGTGTGAGATAATGAGATACATTGATCACAAATGTATTGTAGGGTTAATAGTGACCATTGATTATAGAAACCACCAATATCAATATGACATGCAACTGATGCACACACCATTTTGGTGTGATATAAGCCTTTCACTTGTTCTATTCTATTTTTTCTTCTTCTTAAATGTGTTTTCAGCATGCAAAATGAATGCATTTTAATTTTAGTTTTTTTTAATAATTTGTACACATTATTTTTAATCTTCGTAAAATAAATATTTTTTTTGTTCTTGTAAAATGTTTTTTGATTTTGACCATTCTAAAATCTCAAGTCAATGTTTTTGGTCCCTAATAATTATTGCAAGATAAATAAATGCCATTTTTTAAGGATTTTAATAAATGTAGAGGTACCACACTTCGACATAGAATCAATAATATTTATAGATAACACATAATATAATTACTTAACCTTTTAATAAACACACAAGTAGTTATAAATGATTACATAATAACATAGACTAAACAAAGCTCTTCCAAATTTTACAAAATCAAAACTTATCCATTTTAGCTAGACTCGAAAATGTGGCTAGACAAACCAATGTGACTCAGGAACTAGCAAATGTCACCAGAGAGTGTCCCTGGGGTATGCCACAGAATTGGCGAAATACCCAACCCGTACATGTCGAAACGTGGGTACCTTTCTTATGACCAAATCCACAAGTGCACGTATCTCCACAGGGATACAATCCTGGACCAAATGGCTTGGGTTTTGTCATGCAAGACCCATATCAACATGTGGGGACAGGTCAGGAAGGTTCCCTGATTCGACAGGGTAGTTATGTACCTACTGGTATCAGTAATCAAACCATGATGGCTCATCGACAACAGATGGACCACAGTAATCATGACATGGTCAATTTATTGTCAACCCAAATGCATAATATAATGACGCCTTTGTATGAATTAATAAATAAAATAGGAGATAAATTGGGTGACGGACCGCCTTCAAGAGCCATGAGTGCAAATTTGAACGAGATGGAAAATCTAGGTGGGAATGGAATTTTTCCTCAAAACATAATTCGACCTAATAGGTATCCTAATGATAATTTAGATCAAATGGTAGAACGGATACTAAATAGGCATGGTTTCGAGTTAGGTCGAAATGAACGTCCTTATTTTGTGTCAACCTTTCCCGATCATGTAACTCAAGTAGAACTGCCTAGGGGGACAAAGGTCCCAAAATTTTTGAAATTTGCGGGAGAATTAAATGAGTTTACAGTCGAACATATAGCTAGGTATGTAGTCGAATGTGGGGATTTAGCGAACAATGAGTATTTAAAAATGAAGTATTTACCGAGTTCGCTAACTAAGCACGCTTTCACATGGTTCACAACTTTACCTCCTAATTCGATAAATACTTGGGTTCATTTGGAAGGTAGTTTTCATGAACATTTTTTCAGAGAAGAAATGAAAGTTAGTATAGTAGTCCTCATATGGTTTTTTTTTTAAACACTAACCCATTCATTTTTCCTCCTTCAATACATCACCTCTTGGACTTCTTGGCCTTAGTGTTATTCCATCATTCCTCTAAGTCCTATTAGCTTTCAAAACCAAACACACATAGCATATTACATAATTACATACAAACTTTTCCATAACCATGCCAACTTAACTAAATCACTCCTTGTGAAATGGCAACCTTCACATAAAACGGCATATCAAGAGTTATACTACTCCTATCATGCTCATACTTATCTCATATGAAAGATAAGAAGATTTCCTACAACTCTTATGTAGACATCAAGTCCTAATTCCATCATCTACTTTGTTAAAAATTCTAAAAACCGCAACAACTATAACCAATGCTGGCAGCTTGACCCATGTTCACTAAAACAGTCATATCTGGAGTTCTAGATCTCCTTTTTGGGTGATTCCAATGCCATTGGAAAGCTAACATCCAAGGCTACAACTTTTATGAAGACTTAAAGACTAACATACTCACGCCCGACGAACTAATATCCCACTCGACGAAAAACTCAAACAAAGACCTACAGAGGTCTCAGCGCCCGATGCAATTATCCTACGCCTGGCGCAATTCTAGACAGAGACTCCCAATGAGTCTCCACGCCCGGTGTGCTCAGATCACGCTCGGCGCAATATCAGTAAACAAAACACAAGCACCACGTCTGATAGTGCGCCCGACATGGTTCTCCCCACGCCCGACGTGATTCACCCATGGATTCCCATTTCAAATTGCGCCCGGTGCAACTAGCCTTGCGCCCGGCGTGATTTGGCAATGATGGTCCCTAATGAATTCACGCCCAATGCCAAGAATTGTGCCCGACGCATTTAGTTCCGGTTTCAGAACGGGCCGTTCTGGGTCTAGGTGTTTTAAAAAAATTTTTGATCCACGTGGCATCCACGTATGCATCTACGTGGCGTCCACGTGGCCAAAAGTTAACACCGTTAAAGCAATTTGGACGGAAAGTCCCACATTGAAACCAATTAGTTAATATGGGACTAAATTGAAACCAATTAATTAGATTGGGACCAAATTGAGACAAAAAATTAATGAAGGACTAAATTGAAACAAAAAAAGATTATAAGGGACCAAATTAGGTTTTTAGCCAAAAATATATTTAAGCATTTATTTTTTTATTGAAAGTATCTCACTCTTGTCAAAAATTAAGAATTAATGTTATGAGATAGTGAGATCCATTTAAGGATTTATCTTCTCCAAACATAAATTTTTATCATACACATAAACTTAGAAAATTATTTTTTTTAATTACATATTTAAGGTGCAAAATTATTTGGCAAAATACAATCATATTAACATATGTTCCAATCACTTCACAAATTCATTTACAGGTCCTTTAAATAATTTAAATTAAAAATTAAATATATTCAAATATTTTCCTTAAACATTTTTATTCTCTCTCTTTCAAAATGTCAATAAATATTAGTGGTCATATATTTTTATCCAAATTAATTTCTTTGAGTCCTTTTTCATTTTATACTTATAAATTATGTATTCTTCAATTTCTTTTCTTATTTGTGTTAATAGTGATGTTGATTCCACTATTAATAAATTAATAATCTCATTTAGGGTTTTTAAATTAGAATAATTTTGTATTTAGAATTTTTTATTATTATCATGATTTAGATTTAATCATTTACTTTTCATCACTTATTTATTATTATTTGAATTTGGCTAATTTTATTAATTATTTTTTTATAGAAAAATGATTAATCTTTTGATATATACAAGATATATACAAGTGTATACAATAATCCCAAAATAATATAAGTGTAAAACATCTATACTAATATATACAAGATATATACATATGTATACAGTAATCCCAAAATAATCTTATGTCCTAGTGTCGATCGAGCACAACTATACAAGTTACATGTAATAGCACTGCCACCAATGAAAGATCACACCACCTACCAGCAACAGCTCCTCAAGCCTAGCCCTAATCTGCTTCGATACAACATATAATCATCATATTCCAAATCCCAATAGAAACAAAATGGTAAGCTAGAATTCGAAAACATCTAAGTATAAAAAACAATTATATAACATACAACAATGCACCACAACCATACATGAAAGCTAAAACGCTCCAAAGCAAATACGTATCTCATCCAAACCATGTCACATAAGACATCTGATAATGCATATGAACACACCACAACATATATAATATGCAAATGCCTCAACCAATGCGTCGTCATGCTTTTACCAATGGAAATCTCCTAACAACATGAGCAATCTAAGTGACTCCACCCTATCGAACCAACCCAATTGTTTTCGCACGTGAAGCATCGACTCGATCACAACAAAATAGGATATCAATCCCTCCTTTGGTTTCTTGGGTCTTGTCACTTACATTAGGAAAGTCTCGTTCCATCATAAGAAGTGGTACAACTAGGTATAGGTGTACCATGACCTTAACATGCATTACCAAGTCACGTGGAGTTAGCCCAATGGCCATCCTCAAGGAACCAGGCAACCTTTCCAAGTACTTGGTTAAAGGTTGTAGTCCTTAACCTCCTACCTTACTCAACAACTAACTACAGACTTAGAGGAGACTCAAAACACCTCAAAAACCCACTCCAAGAGACTTAGCTACATAAGGAGGGTTTTCCAATAGTGGCCTACTCGAGAGCCACTCCACGATTCCTTATGTGGGATTTTTGGTTTTCAAAAATAATTTTCTCTTCTTAAGTCCTAAGTTAGCCAACATGCCTTAATGTCATATTGCATTCTCAACATCCACACCTCACCATACATCATCTATATGTATCACATCTAATCAATATATATAGAGATCAATAACAACATCATTCATATAGGGCATATCAATGCTCTCCAAAATCATACATCATACACATGTACAACATACATATACTCATCATCATCCAACACCATACAAACATCTACATATGTCATATCCAATCAACATATATAGAACCATCATCATACACCAAACAACATGCAATTGAACTCAAAACATCTATTCATGTTCATCATACAACACATATCAACATACAACTTATCAGAATCGATTATCATACAATGACAACCTTCATATAAAATAATACATAAGGAGTTTTACTACGTTAATCAAACTTATCTTTATCTCATATGAAAGCTAAAGAGGTTATATACAACTCTTATGAAGACTTTAAGTTCTAACTCCACCATCTACTATACTAAAAATCACAAAAATCGCAACAGTTTACCTAATTACTGATAGCTT